CGTGACTTCCAAACCACGTCTCCTGTTTCGGAAGAGAGGTGCGGCGGACTGAAATTCTGCTTGGCCTCGGTCCAGAACGGTCGTTAGCTTACTGCCTGGTGATGAACCCATGGAACCAGCTGGGCAAAGTGCCGTCTTGCAGGAGGACGGCCGCCTGGGTTTCCAGGAACCACCTCAGTATCAGGTCTTTGAGCATCTCCGACGGCCGCCTTTCCGCCTCCAGGGGAGACGGGGTTCCTGAGGAGGGGGCTCCCGCCGGCTGCGTCTCCATCCTGCCTTCCCAAAGGGATGCAAAACGTAAGGGGGAACCGAGGGCAAATATATAGCCCCGTCCCCTTCGTTACGGAGATTCTCGCATCCTCATTTGCTTGCCGGCCGGGCTGGGCGGCTGAGGTCATTCATCAGATCAGACGTCCCCGCGTGGGCTTGGCCGCTTGGCTGGGGGCCAGCGCCGGAGACGCGGCCAGCCCGAAACCCACACCTAAGAAGAGGAAGCGGGTTGATCTCCCGGCCAGGCTGCCTTTCCCTGCCAGGCGTTGGGCGCCATCTGAATCCTACCTTGGGCTGGCGGCTAGGGCCAGCAGGGCGCTTTCGCCTGGTTACAGCTGGGGCTCGATGCCACGCGCCGGGCTGGTCCTTTGTTCCGAGCAAGAGGCGAACGGAAAAAGGGGGGTCGACAGCACCACAAGGGGCCAGTTTCAAACTCAGCAGGAGGAGCCCGAGATGTCAACACAGGCCCAGGATAAGGAGGCCAGCCGTCCATCAGCCACGCCGGTCCTTGCCCCCCACTCTTTTAGTCCCCCACCCCCAAAGCACTTCCGGAACGGGCAGTTTCAATTCAATGGGGTCTTGGGCTGTATTTTTTTAGCCTTGGAAAGATGAGACGGGGTGGCTGGGAAAGAAGGAAGGAAGGGGAGGAGGGAAAGAAAAGGAAGAAAGAAAAGGAAGAAGGAAGGAAAAGGGAGGGACGGAGGGAGGGACGGAGGGAGGGATGGGGGAAGGAGAAAGAAATACTGGTCAACGAACACCCCCCCCCCCACTGCCTGAACGGAGAGAAGCAACCTGCCTCTGCCTGAGGTGCCTCCCCTGAGGAGGGACCGCAGCCTCTCTTTGGGTCCTTTCATTTGCACAACCGTCAAAAACAGGAAGCGCCACGGACGGGCTGGGCGGTGGCTCTTGGCGCGATGCCCTTCTCTCCCTGGGGGCTCCTGCCCTGCTCGGCTTAGCCTGCCTTTCAGGGCTGGCCTTTGCCTCAAGGGGGAAGCACTTCTTCTGACCTCTGGGGGGCCCTGCGTGGGGGGGCTCCCTGCTGAAGGAAGGGGTGACCCTGGGCAGGCTGGCTCCTGCGCTCTCATGGCACCCTTGCAAAAGCGTGGCAAGGGGTTGCCCGCCTGACCCGCTCTCCCCACTGCTCACTCTCTCTCTCTCTCAATTTCCCAGGGCGTTTCTGGGCAAAGTTTCTCCAGCATCATCTCCAGGAGAGTTTGCAGGGTGTGGTCAAGAAAGTCAACAGTTATTGCAGCACCAAGCACGAAGACTGGCAACCGATAAGGCAGTTGGTTAGCCCTGCGAGGTAGTCCCGATAAGAAGCACAACTAGGAGTACTAACTCTATCTTGATTGCAAGGTCCCATTAACAGAATCTTGCGAGTCTGAAAAGATTTCTCTCCTCCTTTCCTTTCCTTTTATTTTTTTTAAAATTTATTATTAAATTTACATGCCGCCCATCTCTCCCAGACTCTGGGTGGCTTACAATTAAAATCCAAGACAATCAAAACAATAAAAATATAAATACCCCCAATTAAAACCAGAAGTAACA